GGGTTGTTTCTTCACACCTACCTTGTGCGCTCAATACCATAAGCCATTACAAATTTTGCATAAAAGGAAATAAACAATTTCCGTTTAGCGGTTTAACAGTTTAACAATTTACCGCCAAAAAAGTTTCACGGGGCCACACGCGGGGACCGCGCACATCTGGAGGCTGAATTTGAAACCTTTGAGTTATATGTGCACGGGGAACATAACCTCAAAATTTCAGCTTTCTATCTTTTCTCGTTCCCGAGTTATCAATTTTCCCCCCAAAACTTTCACCTTCTCCTACGCGGTGCCCAGACTTGCATGAGGGTTGATACTGCAGTTCTGGGGTGGCACTTGGCCGGAAAACTCACTACCAAAATCTTGGCGCTGGAACTTGCTTGGTTGCCGAGTTGAAATACCCGGACAGACGAACACACACACAGACAGGGTCGTCGCAATATGCGTTTTTGCAATTTGCATATAGGCAAAAACGGATAAAAATACAAACGAGCCATATGAGAGTAAATTTTAAAAAAACAAAACTTACTTTTCCTTTCACCAGTGTTGCGGCAATTTGTAGGATCAGTGATTCGATGCTGTAGGCACTAGACCATCCTTGTTTCGTCAGCAGTTCCATGCAAATAGCACCGCCACCCAAAACAAAGCCATTTGATATTGTTGGAGAAACTAAACGTACAAACGGTGGCTCAAATCTGAAAAAAATTCACACCACTTACTGCTTAAACGAAAAACGAAATAAAAACCGAAACTGGTGCTCTTAACAAACCATTACGTTATCGTCATGTTTTCCAGTAAATCATTATACAGCAACAAACAATCCCAGGTTTCAGTAACAACAAACAGATCCAGGCTGGAACGCACCAGGCCGGCCAGTGTGATCATGCGTTTTTGTACTTTTCGTGCTGTAGTAAAATCGTAAGCTGGCCCTACGAAATACTGGCCCTCGAAGTTCGGGGAGTTAATTGAGCAGCTACTGATGTGTCAGTTGCAGATGTCCGCTTCAGTGATCTGACAAACGGAAAGTTGCTGGTACGCAAAAAAGTCTCCGATAGAATGGTTAAATATGAAATCTTTTAGTCGCACATGAGTAGAGGACACTCCCCTAAAGTTCCAGCTCTCTAGCTTTTCTCGTTCCCGAGTTAACAGTATTCTCGCCAAGATTTTTACGTGCCCGTACATGAGTTCCGGGCGGTACTAAGGAGCTGAGCTTGAAAAGTTTCGGTCGTGCATGAGTATGGAACATCCCCCGAAATTTTCAGCTTTCTAGCTTTTTTCTGTTCCCGAGTTAGCAATTTTGCCGCCAAAACTTTCACTTGGTCGCATGTGGAGCCCAGATGTGTGTGAGGATTAGTACCATGGCTCTGAAGTCGCAGCTGGCCGAGGAATACAATGGCAAAATTTCAGCTTCAAAGCTTGCCTGCTGGCGAGTTGAAATACCCGGACAGACGAACATACATACACACACATACATACATACATACATACATACATACATACATACA